TATCTGGAAATTCTTAAACCTTTATAGGTTTCTTAAATTAAGACTGTTTTTCCCCCTGCCTTCTTTGTTTTCATCATCATTGGGCCCTCTTTTTCTTTATCTTGCTCTTTCTCCTTCATGCTTTCTTTCTTTTCTGCATCATGAGTTTTTGGCCTATCTGTATGTATAGCATATTCCAGGCATTGTGTAGCTAGAGAATCTTATGAAGATGTGGGCCAGATTTCAATAAATTGTCAATCTAGTGAAGACTAAACTATAAGAGATATTGAGAACTTATGGTAATTGATATATAAGGATATATATTTATAAAACTTGCATGTTTGGTAATTGATGTATAATGATATATATTTATAAAACATGCATATTTGTGTTATATATAAATTATAACACTAGAAAGTAGATAAAAACTTCTTAAGGTCAGGAGTGCTAACCTGTTTCTGTATGCTGGAGTACGTTTATAGTAATACCAAGCTGGTGGAAACCTTAATTACTAAAGGCGATCTCTAACATGGCACTCTGAAGAGTATGGTTTAATTCTGAAAGTCTTTTTTATTTGATTATAAGTCTTTTGTTTGACCTTCTGATTTTTATGCAGGATGGAATCTTTAAGATGAGCCTTTCTCCAGACGGGATGCTGCTTGCAGCCATTCATTTCTCAGGGAAACTGAGCATCTGGGCCATTCCATCTCTGAAGCAACAAGGGGAATGGAATCAAAGCGAGCAGGTGTGTTTGTTGGTTGTGATCATTGTTAGAATGATACTTTCTTAAGGGTGAGTACTGACAATACTAATTTGACTTTTCTGATATTTTACTATAGCACACAGCCATTATTTATCATCATTCTGAAGCTATTCTGTATTTAAATTATATCAGTGCAGCTGGACAGATTAAGAATAGATTAATATTGGGTACTGATTTTACTTTGTAATGCAGTACACTCTGAATACTGAATATAATCCATTGATTAAACGCTTTATTTTTTCCCTCTTCGACATTTCAAAAGTATAGAATGGAGATGTTAGTATTTCAGCAAGAGTCAATATGAATCATGGTTTTCGAGGGTCAAATCCTAAACACGTTGCAGTTCTTCCTAAATCTTGAATACTAGTAATATGGGGCTTATTTTAAGTTTTAAGAGAATGACTTTCTCTTCATTCAAATACGAAGCTAAAATATAGACAAAGATGAAACTCTTTCATTGTTTAGTGTCTTGAAATGATAGATTTTATGGTTTTATTGTTTAGTAGTAGGTAGAATAATCAACATCTTTTATAATTTAAATTCACAAAGGTAAGATCTGCTCATGTAAAGTCCTTTGTTGTGAGAAAGTGAAGGTTCAAAGGAATTGCTCAGTTGGGTATGGCTTATATTATAAATATTTTTGTTTGCATTTTTCTACTTTAAGTGTTGATTTCATTTGCTTACGCCCTCACCTCACTTTCCTATAGACATACCCAGCTTTGGCGGATAGTTTTGTGATTCTCAGATTAGAACCTATTTCCTGAATGAGCTGGATGGATAGATGTTATAATTAGGAGAATTACTAATAAACAATTTTTTTTTTAGAAAAACAGAAGGAAAGAGAAAGTGACTTTGTATTTCCTTACTTGATTGACACATTTAAATTTATTTATTTTTTAGCTGTTTTTTTTTTTTCTTTTATATGTAGCTTTAGGAAGGTTCTTTTTTCTTACCAGTTCCCATTCACCTTCAATTTAGTATGGTCTCAACATGACTAATTAAAAACCTTAAAACTGAGGAATGATTGAGTATGAATATTTCAGTGATTTGAAATGTGCAGTCAACAAAGTAATGGGACAGGAGAAGAAGGAACTTCAGAAATGGAAAAAAATATACATGGTGCGAAGGGATGGGTTCGTGGAGAAGTTGTTTTTAGCCATGCCTTACTTAGTGAGAATCTTTTGAACAGAAATACCCTGCATATCCAAGGACAATTTATTAGGAGTTGCCGCAGTTTGATTGTTGAGCATCCACCTCCTGTGGCTTTGATTTAGGTTTCCCAAAAAGTCCTCAGAGAATTTGGCTTTAAATTAATCTGTCAGAGAGATGCAGCTTGATTTTTAAGTTAGTTGTATCCCTTATGCAAACCCCAAACTTTAGGGTTATATGTCAGTTTCTTTTTATTTGGCTGATGTGAATTATTTTCCATAAGTGCCCAAGTAAACTGGCAAAAATAGGTTCTTTGGCTTACAGAAGTGAACCATGGAACTGCTTGCCATCAGCAAGGCAAGGACATTGTGCGGATCATAACGTTGTTGCTGAGGGACCAGTGGCGTAGCCATAGCTACTGATGTTGATCCTACTCTGACTGCCATTCCCACTGCTGCTCAGCTCCTGCTCCAAGTAGAGTTCATTACAGCACAGGCTGGGGACTGCCACAGCCTCCCCTCTCCTGCTGCTGCTTCGCACATGGAGACTAACTGGCCAGAGCAAACTCTGCCCTCTGAGACCCCAGCCAGTTTTAGCCTCAAAGGAAATTTTGGTCTAAAGTTAGGAACATGGGAGGCATTTAATTTTATCCTTTTTTTCTTCTTTAAAATCCTAAGATTGTGGTCAAAATGCAAATTCCTCTGTTCACTTGTCATCTTCTCTAGTCTGACCGTTATGCTGGTTCACTCTGCTTCCTGATCCTCCTTTCCATGCCCCCGCCCCTTTCATCTACCCCCATATCATAGATATCAGGGGTGTATTTTCTAAAACGCCATTCAATCATAAACACTCCTGTGAGGCTTCAGGCTCTTCACAGACATTTTGGTTTCTTTCACTGTGCTTATTGCAGGCTTTATAGCTTAATGGATGCAGGTACATGCATATGATATTCTCGTAGCTTTTACAGAATTTACTCTGATAACAGCATCAGTTATTACTTAATGAGCATTTACTTTGTTATAGGGCTATACTGCCAGTAAGCAGTGGAGCTGAGGCTTGATTTGTATCTTTTTGACTCTGATGTTCATTGTCTTTCCATGACCACATGGAAAAAGAAATACATTAGAAAACAAAAAGATAGGTGGAGGGAATATTTATGTGCAGGAGTCCTCAAACTGTTTTAACAGGGGGGGCACTTCACTGTCCCTCAGTGGAGGTCGGACTGCAGGCCCTGGGACGAGTCAGCCGCTAAGCAGGACATCAGCGGCGGCAAAAACACCTGGCGGGCCGGATAAATGTCCTCAACTGGCTGCATGTGGCCTGTGGGC